CTATCTATCTATCTATCTATCTATCTATCTATCTATCTATCTATCTAAAAGCAGTGAAGCAAGTGAAGTTTTATAAAAAATAAAAATAAAAACACAGGTAAGATATTTCACATAACCATAAATATACCAATATATAATTTCAAGTCATAAATACAGTCACTCAAAGTAGTTTGACAAAAATTATTTCGATGCGAAAAATCTTCATCTTACATAAATCATGTATTACAGAAGGCAAACAGAAATATGACAACTTAACATTTGATTTGTTTCAGAGTCTACAGCTACCTTCTTGAGCCTCTGCTTGACACTGGATGATATATGCGTCAATCACTCTGGGCTCCAGGTCCCTGCCTTTTTCAGCTGGCGTGATGAGGCGAGGAATGTGCACCTCCTGCCAAAAGAAAAAAAACTTACCCTTCAACCAACCAATCAAACCATTTGTGTAATTACTAGTGGGATTTGTGTGAAAAGATTTGCTGAGGGAAAAAAACAAGCGTAAAATGGTTTTCTTTGATGACTCAAGCTAGTTGACAAAATTCATATCTACATTACCTAGTCTAAGAGTTAAACCATAATTCTAGTTTTACTGCTTTAAGTTTTTGCTCTGTGCAAATGTATTACCTTGAGATTTTTTAATATTCCCGCAGCAGCCTTCAAGCTTCTGTGCACATCTTTGGCTTCAGGCTCTGTTATGCTGTGAAACAAAAATAACATAGTTTCAGTTTAAAAGGTGTATGTTTTAAAACATATAAATTACATCACAATTTACCAACAAATGTTCCTACTTTTCCTTCCCAGCAAGTCTTGAGGCAAACTTGGTGTACCAGATGGCTACGTTGAAGGCCATGGAGACCAATTCAAATACTGCATCTTGCTGGGCACTAAAGGCATAACAAGGGAAGATTCCATGACTGAAGGTTACCACTTGCAAAACCCCTGCTGTCATACCCCAAACAAGGCACTTGATACCCCTAAAGTGAGATTACCTCTTCCAATCAATATTATGAAAATAAAGTAAATATTTTTAATGTGAAAACTGAATATGAAAAAGTGATGGAAAACAATACTTGAAAAAATAATCATCAAATGTTGAAACTGAGGCAAGCCACTAATCCATGGAAGATATTACTTCATACAGAATTTGGTGGCAGCAACATGTTTCAAATAAATCTGTATAGGCCTGAAAAAGTAAATACTACTAAAAAGTAAAGAGAGAAATTGGATGCAACTTAAAAGCTTTACTGGAAACAGCCTGGAACCCCAACACTAGAAAAGAGCACCTCATGAGGCAGAGTCTCAGACATAAAGGAGTGGGGTCACTCCATCTTAAAAAAAAAGCAATTTTTTAGAACAATTATCATGTTACATCAATCAATATTAAATCACCCAAATAAATTAAAAAGTCCAAGATTACATACATCTGGGGAGATATTCCTGTGCAAAACACAAACTTAATTTCTTTTAGCAGACTCTAAGGCACAACAGAATTTAGAATAACTATCTAACAATTTGTATATCAGGAAAGGAATCATTAATGATTTGAAATAAAAACTGGCTTTAGATTATTCTGAAAAGTCTTTTTCAGGGGACACCTGACACAAAATGATGTTCTTTTGTTCCCCAAATGACCCACAATCAGATCCTTAGGCAGCCACCAGCCTAACCTTTTTTTCAACGTCCCTTCTATACATTACATGGAAAACAAATATTATTCTGTTTACAATGACTGAACTAAGTGTTTCTTCAAATGTTTTACCTTGGTGTGTTTCCCTGTAAGGTATCGGTCCATTTAAAGTTCTGGATAAACCTCATTTTGTTCTCCTGTGTAGTTCCATCCAAGGAGGTGATAAAACCTGTTTGTTATAAACCAGTGTTTTGTTTAAAAAAAAATAAGAAAAATAAGAAGCAGCTGGTTAGATGCATAAAAAAAATCCAGTGTTGGAAAGCAAAAAATAAGAATTAACACAATGCATAGTGATTAAACCATAATATATAGTGCAGTAAGGTATTTAATAAATATTTGCCATGTATTGCATAATTTTGCTCCACAAACTTTAAGTATATTAATAATATGAAAGTAATATGTGTAATTCCAAAAAAGACTTTGGGAAGAATAGATTAAGTGATGTATTTGTTCAACTTCAGAGCTCAAATAGTATGAACTTGCCTTGCAGCAGAGAGAAGTATGCATCTGTGGCATTCTTCATGATCTCCGGGTTGCAGGTGATATCAGTGAACATCTCCAGCAGCCTTGCCCTAGTTGTCCTCAGGTCACTAAATGTGTCAAATACAAGTAAAAAAAGGTCAGTGTCATGTGGACTTCAACAGTACTCACACAATATACATAAAACACATAGTTTGAGTGAAAAGATGACTGAGCTCAAACAAGAATAACACTAACATGCCACGGGTAGCTGAACCAAGTCATTGTGTGATTACGCTAGTCTGAATTAAGAAGGGGAAAAAAAGACATACTTGCATATCTTGTTGGCTGCAGGGCTCCCTGCCACTCCATAGTAATTAAAAGTCACAGGTGCCGTAGCCTTTAACGGGTTTCTATGAAACCAATGTGCCATCCTGCGGAGCTGGACACACCTAGAATGCGGAAGCTGGAAGATACAGATGAAATCAGGTTAAGGTTCAAGTTTTATGACTAACCCGTACGTTGCATACTTAGTATGTATCATACCCCCCTAAATAATGTGATCATTCAGTTAACTATGAATGTGAGCTACAGGCTAAGATGATACATTTTTGCGATGGATACATTGGTCCAGTTGGCACCTTAAAGATAAAGCGCATTCCATACCCGTCAAACTCCTTCAAATAATATTTCTAAATCATTATACCATATCCGAAGCAGTTATAAATGGTCTCCTTTTTCATTTTTCTTTCTTATACGTTGTATACAACAAGTCTGTTACGTAAGCTATTAAGAGAAAAAGCTAACGGCTAAAACTGGCTACGTCTACAAAAGTAATGATTAATTTAGACAACGTGACAAGTGGCTATTATTCTCCACTACGAAAACCTGTTAAAGTAGATGGAATGTACTCTAAATGCGCTTGGTTACCTCTTGGAGTGGAGCTATTTTAGTTTGGGAGTCTTGAAAGTAGGAGACTGACAACTTACTTCCGGAAATAAACACAGAGAAGAGATGGCCAATGAAAAATAACGTTATAGTCACATGATATACGTCCAGGCTCGTAGTGCCAGTGGTGTTATATTTAATGCAAAGGGAAGCGTCTTTGATGCAGTGAGGCCTGTTTTAAGATCAACGCAGGTTATGCGGTTGTTTCTACTGGGATGATTCAATCTTAGTTGATTTAAAGGGTAATGCCTATAGCTATCTGTTAATAAAAGAGTCGTAAACAAAACTACTTTAATAGAGGACTATAACTCACATTTTATATGTTCAGTTTTTAATTAGCAAAATGTAAATTTTATATTTATATAAATTTCACATGTATTTTTTATATATATATATATATTACATGCATATATATATATTGTTCATTGAACCAGCTGTAAAAGCAGTGTAACCATATTTTGATCTCCAAAAAAGAGGACACTTTTCCCAGGATCCAGACAGGCTTCTCAGATGTTAATGAACATGCTTTATTATACCTCAATGGTACAAAAAAAAACCTTCGGTAGTAAAACACAATCTGTAACAACCAGTAACAAAATTGTAGCCCTCCTTTAAAACACATAAATAAAATCCAATAATGTTCTAAATATGACCTCTTCTGTATTAGAAAATACAGCTTCGACAAAATACCTTTTAATGTAATAAATTAAACAGTCTCACAAAGATACAAACTCAACAGACAAAAATGATCAATAGGCCTACTAAGTAGAGGTCCTTTTTGTCCCATTTCCCACGTACCGGTACGGCACGTTGGGGAAAAAATGCAGTTCGTATGTGAAGCTGTACGTTCGTTTGGGCGATGGCGATGGTCCCATGAAAAACTTGAAAACCGGACATTTTCATGAATTCATAATCGCAAAGTGTCGCAGTATTACAGTAAAATGAGTCAAAGTGTGGAGCAATGGCACAGATTTTTTTTTTAACCTACTTAAGTAAGTTGGAACTTAATCAATTCTCAGAACTGTTTAAATGTATGTGAATATTTGACGAATCCTTACATTATTAATTTTTGCAATTAGCATAATTATTATTGTAGTAAATGGGGATCACAGTCTATGCATGGTACAAATTTGTCTTTGTCTTTCCTCACTTAATTTTTTGACTAAATAAATAATGTATCTTTTGTTTATTGTCTTTTCATTATCACCATAGGATTTTTTATACTGATTTTATTTAGTATTTTACTACAGATTATGTTTAACATAAACTTCAGTTTTAATAAACAAGTTACTTTCAAGTTGAATAAATGGAAATGTGCATACTTTCGTACTTCGGTGCTAACTGAAAAGAGTGAATTTTTAAGAATTAGAGCTTTATTGGCAACTGCCAACAGAAGAACTTTATAAAAATACACACTGCTTTTTAATAATGTGAAGAACAGAAAAGACCTATATCTATAGTTCCTGAACCATTTTTATTTCTCATTTGGAAAACAGAATGAACAAAGAACCTATTTCAAGTGATGATCAAAACAAAAGTAGAAGACAAATCACAGTGACAAAGACATGCTGGTCTTATTCTCATTGAGAGTCTTCACAAATGTTACACTGAAACACCAAATAATGATATTACATTTGCAGCTTCATTGCTTTGTATATCAGTATGTCTTTAGGGACTAATATGTCCACTTTTCAACAAGAAGTATGTACAAGACACTTTTCAGTATGTTCACATCAGCTAAAACCTCTTTTGTGGGGTCAGTTTCACAAGCACTTAACTACAGAGGGAAATATTTGGGTCAAATTAACTTTCACATTATCTTCTTTTTATAACACAATTCTCAAAATAATTAAGAAACTATTAGAAGACACCCATTATAACATCAATGTTACAACCAACGCATTGGAATTTTATAAGTACTTAGTTAGAATGAGTGCATCTTAAAAAAATCTAAAATCACCTAAAGTCTTTTTCTACAAAAACAATCCCTGTATGGTTGTTCTTTTCTCATTTAAATGTTGAATTCCAAAATAATTTCTGTGCAAATGTAGAAAACCAGCATCAAAGATTGCCCTGATGTGTGTAGAACAAAAATCCTGGTTCCAAAAGGTCACTTTTTATCTTGTCAGCAAATATGCAGTCACATACCTGTAAGCAAAAAAGAAAAAGAAAAGGAAAATCTGTACCAAGCAACTTCCTGTTGTTTTTCCTGTGGGGGGTCAATAGCGTAGGGAGAACACTGATTAAATTAGTGTTGTCAGACAATATTACATCAAATAGATGAAAAAAAAATCCCCTTTGTCCAGAAAAAGAAATAGTTTACAATTTAAATCACAAATAACAATGTGAATATATATATAAAAAAAGAAAAGAAAACAGAACAATCCCAAGCTTCTCAATTATGAGAACTGCCAAACCCATTATTACTGTCAAACCTACTAAACTATGCCACAACTGTACATGTGCCCTTTTGTTACCTCAATTAGCATTGTACCATCAAAAGCACGTTAAAAAAAACAGTCCATGTTTGAAAAAAGCTACAAAAGCCTTCAACACAACACCAGCATGTGCAGGATTCTCAGTCAAGAAGAAACATTTGCAGATAAACTTGCAAATTCTCATGTGGTTTATTCGTATTTCATATCACTGTGTATTAAATCCAAAGTATGTTTTGCCTTTGAAGACACTTGGACACAAGCAAATCCGGTGACATAAAAAAGAAACAGCTTGCACTCATCCAGAAAGTCTTTGGCACCAGCACAGCTATGGTGAACAAAATTAAATATTGAAGTCCAGCTATGTTCCACACACGTCTTGATTTCATTTGGTCCTGCTGCTTTAAAGACCTTGTGGCAAAAAGAGAAAAAGACATCTCAATACAGTCACTATAACCCTGATAAGTTGTTTAAGATGGCACATCTGCAGAATACTCATGAACATATTCAGCCAGTGGGGGTGAAGCTCAAAGGCGTTTGGCATAGTTATTGCATAAAATATGGTCTCGGACATCTCCCCATCCTCCATTCTTCAGATGCGCTTTGTGCTCAGGTGCTTCAGCTCTCATGAGGATAAGAGACTGAGGAAAGAGTCCCTCTTTGGTCATTCGAAGTTTCTCCTCAACCCTTTGTAGGGCTTGCTCCGGTCTGCAGTTCTCCTTCTGGTGAAGACCACAGTCCCCGGTGTGCAGAACCCTGGAGCCAAGGGCTGCCAGGACTTTGACAGGCTTTGATATGCAGGTTCCTGAAAGGTACTGCAATGTCCAGTCCCAGTTGTAATCGTCATAGGTGCAGAACTCGTTGCTGCAGCCCATCAGCTTGTAATACATCTCCCTGGAAATGGCCATGCCTATATTATGTTTAGTGGACATCCACCCAGTGGTCAATACCTTATTGGAAATTCTGATAAAATCTGTCAGGTCATCATGGTTTCCCAAAGCAAGCACATCACAGTCTGAGCAGCTCTTCTTCTTGAAATCTATCATGAATTTGTAAAAGTGGAAAAAGTCTGGTAGGATGTAATTGTCCTCTTCAAGAAAAATTGCAAAACCCCTGTATCCCTGCATTGCCTGCACTCGCTCCCACACAAAGTGCAATTTCCACCACCAGTGGTGTTTGGTTTGGGTGATGAAGGCTTCCCTGTAATGCCCATACGAGTCAGGGTGTTGTGCATTAAGACATCCTGTTTTGACAGCATCGTCCTTGGATAGGTCTCGAGGGCAGTCTTGTGGATCCTGCCCAGGAAACTCATGGGGATACAGCTGAGTACTGAAAGGGAAATAAATCTGCAGTACTTTGCAGAAAGTTATCCCTTGCACAATTGTGTTTATTTCCTCAGAAAAATGGTCATGGCTAAAGATAAGGAGAAAGCTGTGGACCTCAGCCGCTCTTTCTAAGGACCTGATGAACAGTTTGAGGTATTCAGGCCTGTTGTGAACCTGCACAACAAGAACCAGCTGAGGCTCCCCTGGAAACCTGTCTGCATTTTGAACGCCCTGCTTAAAATTGGCACTGTAAACGGACTGGGTCAGCTCTGACAGGGAGCCAAAGTTAAACTTCAGTATGTCCCCAGAATGAATATCCGGGTTATCTCGAACGGCACGGTTAGGCTCTCTAGTGTCATTTTCAGAGACTATTAACAGGCGTGTGGAAAACAGGAGGGTTGCAACAATAAAGGTAACTCCCAAGAGCACTAGCAGATTCCTTTTGACCAGTCGAAACCTCATTTTCTTGCGATAGAAACAGACTTTGGAGCCCAACAACAATGCTTTTCATTCACCTTATAGCGCGCATCTGCATCTTAAACTTACTAGCAGACACACTTCCTCGTGCAGTTCTTGCCGTGTTACGTCTGACTACAACTACAATTTAACTGTCGTGTCTCGACTGCTGTTATTCGTTTAACACGAAAGTCTTCCAACCAGAAAACCGTGTCATGATATAAAGTTTGGCTGCTGTTGCTTGGTTTCATCACCTGAAGAAAAATTAAGTAAAAACAAAAACAAAAAGACAACGACCTGAGCAAATGGGAAATTGAACAAATTCTACGTTTTGTAATTGTGTTAAATTAACGACCCTACTTACCCGAGAGAAGGGTTATGTGTCAACACGTTAATACCAGGAAGGGGATGATAGAACTGTGGTACAACTTATTGACTGCTGACGTGTACGATCCAGCCAACGAGTGAAGAGACCGAGCTCCCGTTCAACGAATCATTGTCCAACCTGAAGTTGTGTAACATGAGGAGGAAATGTAAATTGCTGACAGCCACAGAACTTCCTTCGGAAAAAAAATACCTGTGCTATCTTTGACCAAAGAGTTCGCTTGTTTTTGAATAGTTACCACAGATCCCTTTTTTTCCACACATAGCTACCCTGATTCTCATAGCATTTAAATGTTTTTCAAGTTGGCAAATTAGAATAGATTAAGTCGAACATGAACTCCCCTTAACCCATCAAACGTTATCTGTTCAGGTTAGACGGGTTCATCAAATAACAAAAGCATCTTGAGCAACATGGAGAAACCTGAGAGGAGAACCTTTCACAATACACAATGAAAGTGTATATGTTGGGATTCGTATCAAATGATGGGATAGTACAGTGTTTAAATAAGATAATTTAGTGTAGAGAATTCCCTTATTATTTGTTTATTTATGTATAATATGCAAAAGTGCACAAGCATAGAAAAAATAGTCAAATACTAAGCAAATATTGTGTCCGTTTCCAAGACTGACTTTAAATTCAAATAAAGTAACTACTTCCTCTGTAAAATTTCCTTGTAATCTTTTTTTTAATTTGTTTATATAATTCCAGAAGCTCTTATTTGTGTCATGTCTATTTGGCTGTTGAATTTGCATTTGTTCTTAAGGTTCTTTCCTCATTTGTTTAGGCACATTCATTTATAACCATTGATAATGTATAAATGGAGAGAAGGATGTACCAAGTCCAAAGCAAGAAGCATTAATGAAGAAAAGTCATTTTTGTTCTCTTCTAAATTAGATATCTGGTCAGTCAGAAATCTACATGGGGTAAAAGCTTATATGTAAGCACAGCAACTTACTTAGTGCATGCTTGGGACCATGTATTTACATCATGTGGCATTAATTATAAAGTAAAGTCACAAACCATGTTTATGCTCTATAAAGAGCATCAAACATTTGTTGATGGGGCAATATACACAAACACAAATAAGCACATAAAGACTGGTACTGTGGCGGGAGCCTAACCTAGCTAACATGGGGCACAGCAGGGTACACCCTGGATAGGTCGCCAGAGCCATACTGAGAGTTAGGCTTTATTTGGGTAATGTTGACTATATTGACTATACTCTACAATTCTACAATTCTACATTCTGGAATATTTACTATAATTAAGGTATTACAACATCTAGCTACAAATATCGGAGGAACAAGGCTTTCTCAAGAAGTTTAGCTTTCACTGCACACAGGCTCAGTTGTTCCATCTTCCCACACTTTTTGTATAAAATCATTAAAGCAGGATTGAACAATAACACAGGTTAATTCCCAATGAATGTTCTTGTTCAGTATTATTCTGCCGGGCATGTCTATAAGGTGACAGTATCAGCTTCACCTTCTACATCTATACTTTGGTTGTGCGCTTAGTGATTGCATTGATCCAAGTGGAGATGCTGACCACTAATGGGCCCTGTCGCGGGCACATGCCCATTAGGTGAAAGCATGAGCTAGCGCCAGTGTCAGTGTCATTAACATAAACCCTCTGTTGTGTTGAATGGTTTCTCTAAGCATGAGCCAATGGCCTTCTCTGTCTATGTCTCATATTTGCAAGCCATCAGTACAGTGGCTATGGCAAGTATTCAGACCCCTTTAATGTTTTATTCAGCAATTTGCTAAAATTAAAAATTCAACTACCCAGTCCCTGAAGCTTGTCACAATCCGGTCCTGGGTTTCCACCATACTGCCAGCTCTGCCAGTACTTTTCCGGATTGTCTGCCTCATCAGTGCAACCACCTTCACCTGTGTTCCCTCACCTGATTTAAACCCACTCTTTCCTCTCAGTCTCTGCCAGATTGTCTTTAGTGTCATGCAAAGCTTTCCAGCGTTTTCTTCCGGACTGCCTCACTGGTTTCGACCCTGCCTGCCCCTGACTCGTCCTCATCGTTCCAGCCCCGGTAACCTGGGGCTGACACCTCCGCCTGCCTGCCCTTGTCTGCCTCCAGTTTGTTGGGAAAATAAACTGTTGAACTGTTCATCGCTGGTCTCAGTCTGTGCTGTACTTGGGTCCAGCTTCACACCCATTACAAAGCTATGTTTTTCGCAAAGCCCCTCAATGGCCTATACTCTGCACTCAGAGCATTTGGTATGCTTTGAGAAATTAAATTGAGGCTCTCTATACAGTAGGTATGGAAAGTATTCAGACCCCTTTAAAAATTTAACTCCTTGTTTAATCACAGCCATTTGCTAAAATCAATGAAGTGAATTTTATTTCTCATTAATGTACACTCAGCACCCCATCTTGACAGAAAAAAATGAAAATGTAAAAATGCTTGCAAATTTATTAAAAAAGAAAAACTGAAATTTCAAACGGTCATAAGTATTCAGACCCTTTGCTGTGACACTCATATTTAACTCACAAGCTGTCCTTCTGATCCTCCTTGAGATGGTACTTCTTCATTGGAGTCCAGCTGTATTTAATTAAACTGATTGGAAAGGCACACACCTGTCTATATAAGACATTACAGCGCACAGTGCATGTCAGAGCAAACGAGAATCATGAGGTTGAAAGAACTGCCAAAGGAACTCAGAGACAGAATTGTGGCAAGGCACAGATCTAGCCAAGGCTACAAAATAATTTCTGCAGCACTTAAGGTTCCTATGTTTATGTTTATGTTTATGCATTTGGCAGACGCTTTTATCCAAAGCGACTTACAGAGTAGACACAATATTACATTTCTCATCACAATGACAATAAACTATATAGAGCAGAAACACTGATCAGAGTCAGTGGTGAGATAGAGATAGATGTAGAGGGACTACAGAAGGAGCTGTGGGGGGGTAGAGGTACGGGTTAGGGTTAGGATAGGAGATGCTCTTTGAAGAGGTGGGTCTTCAAGAGTTTCTTGAAGACAGACAGGGACTCTGCTGTTCTTGTGGAGCTTGGTAGGTCGTTCCACCATCTTGGAACGACACATGCAAACAGTCTGGATTGTCTTAAGCGTGGTGAAGGCACTGCTAGACGACAATCCATTGATGACCGGAGTGATCGAGTTGTGACAAAAGCCTTTGCAAGGGGATTCAAGTAGATGGGAGCCATACCCTTAAGCACTTTGTAGGCTAGCATCAGGGACTTGAATTTGATACGGGCAGCCAGAGGTAACCAGTGGAGTTCAATGAACAGAGGGGTGACGTGAGATTTTTTGGGCTGATTGAAGACCAGACGCGCCGCCGCGTTCTGGATCATTTGTAAAGGTTTTACTGTACAGGCTGGGAGACCAGTCAGGAGTGCGTTGCAATAGTCTAGGCGGGAGATGACCATAGACTGCACCAGGAGCTGGGTAGCATGTTGTGTTAGGTATGGCCGGATCTTTCTTATGTTTAGTAATGCGAAGCAACAGGATCGAGAAACAGAGGCAACGTGATCTTTAAAGGTCAGCTGGTCATCAATCATGACACCCAAGTTTCTTGCTGCCTTTGATGGAGTCAGAGAGAGGGATTCAGTTTGGATGTGAATATTGTGGTGAATAGTTGGTTTGGCTGGAAAGACAAGCAGTTCAGTTTTTGAGAGATTCAGCTGGAGGTGGTGGGCTTTCATCCATTTTGATATGTCAGAGAGACAGTCTGAGATGCGTGCTGAGACCGAGTGGTCATCAGGTGGGAATGACAGATAGAGCTGTGTATCATCAGCATAGCAGTGGTAGGATAAACCATGTGATTGAATGATCTGGGCCAAAGAAGTGGTATATATAGCAAAGAGAAGAGGTCCAAGTACTGAACTTTGAGGAACCCCTGTGGCGAGGTGGTGCGCTGCAGAAGTGTGACCAAGCCAGGATACTTTAAATGATCGACCAGTGAGGTACGATTCAAACCAGGAGTGTGCTCTCCCTGTGATGCCCATACTCGAGAGTATAGACAGAAGGATGTCATGATTGACTGTGTCAAATGCGGCTGATAAGTCAAGAAGGAAAAGTACTGAGGACTTGGCATTTGCTCTTGCCTCTTTTAGGGCTTCTGTCACAGACAACAGAGCCGTTTCAGTGGAGTGGCCACTTTTAAACCCAGATTGATTTGTATCAAGAAGTTTGTTTTGTGAAAGGCAGTCTGTGACCTGCTTAAAGACTGCCCTTTCAATGGTCTTTGACAGAAATGGAAGCAGAGAAACTGGCCGATAGTTTTCCACCTGAGTTGGTGGGAGAGAGAGTTTTTTGAGCAGCGGTGTGACCAAAGCTTGCTTGTATGAGTTAGGAAATGTGCCAGATGTCAGCGAAGCATTGATCACATGTGTGACTGCTGCAGTAACTGTAGGAGCTATGGACTGGAGTAAGTTTGTAGGAACTGGGTCCAGCAGGCATGTAGTAGGACGGCTACATGTGAGAAGTTTGGACACATTGCTCTCAGTGAGAGGAGCGAAGGAGGAGAACAAAGCAGTAGGACTTCTGCTTGTATATGTACTATGAGAAGTTTCATGTGCAAGCCGTTCAGTAAACTGTTTGCCTATAGCTGCCACTTTGTCAGTAAAAAATGAGGCGAAC